ACTTGTGTCGCTAAAAGTTTCGTCGGAACGAAGTGACGGGAAGTTAATTAACAAAACGGAGACGTAACAGTATGTATGTGTTAAAAAGATTACTCTAGCATTGTGTGAATACAATTACACTATTACAGTTTGAATTTCTACTCATTTCTAAATCTGGAAACTATCAATGTGTAGAACTCCATGTTCAAGGCATTTTGAACATTAATAGTAAAGTGCAAGAAGTTATGATTTTGTCTTTAACTTTCAACAAAATAAATAATTTAACTATTCTTTTATTTCAAAACATGAAGTAAAATTGGATTTTTGAGCTGTAACTTCTTTACGTTTGAAAGACATTGGCATTAGACGCATAACAGCAAATCATTAAAACCTTTTCTTTAGTTTTTGTTGTTAAATCGTTATTGTCTTGTTATGTAAAACAATCCATAATATAAACGTATTATTATTAATAGTGCAATCCAGGACTTGGTGCAAACGCCCTCTATGATCTTCTTTACAACTTACCCATTAAACCGATATTACTGTGCGGCTGTAGTATCGTCTGTTCTACTGTGGCTGAAGCTGCAAAAATGTGGAATTTGGTAGTGGTATGTTCACAGTCTTTATTTTCTGTGTGCTTGTTTTTTATTAACGTGTTATTCAACTTACATCGTGTAGTATAATTATTTTATTGTTTGTTATTGTTTTGTTTTTCAGAATTCTTGCTATTTCATGTACGTAATCTTAAGGTGTCAGGCTTGTTACCTTGAAAAGGTCGTATTTCAATCAAATATATAACATTTATAGGGTGAAACGATTGGATTAAGAAGCATTTTCTTTTGGTGTACAAGATTCTGCTATATAATATATAAAAAAAGTTTTTGGAGTATTTGTTAAACAATCAGAATAAACGTCGCTGTTCTTTCTTCGTAATACAATTTTCAAGTGATTCATGTTACAATTAGCCATTGACAAAGACTTTGTTTTGTTCAAAATTTTTGTTATTGTTTTTGAAAGCGAAAGATATCCGAATATGAAGTTGATATACATTTTAGGTATCTTACGGATCCAGTTCTCCAGCTCTCTCGAATCGGAAACGTTTCCCTACATTCTTCCGTACTCATCCCTCAGCCACCATTCATAACCCGACTAGAATTAGATTGTTTGAAAAGTTCAGCTGGTCTCGAATTGCTATAATTCAGGAAGCAGAGGAAGTGTTTATGTCAGTGAGTAGCTCATAATTCTTTGAGTTGAAAATATGTCGCTAAAAACAAAAAACGCTGCTATGTCGGGAGATGTCCTAGAAGTTTAGCTGTAGTTTTCATATAAACCTGAATCGACCTCTTTTATAGGCCTTAATTGAAGCCGCTTAAATAAATTCTGCCCTATTTTTCAAAATATCGTTGTCTTTAGTTACAATGAGGAATGTCAAAGAATTATGTCATGTTTAGTAAGTAAGGTCGTTGATGAAAAATTCTTAAGATTAAATATTCCCTTTCCTTACCCCAACTTGTTTTGTGTAGTTCAAAGTTCTGGATATAATCCTATCATTACCTGCATAGAAAATCACTTAATATGTAGCTTAAACATTATCCCATCATTTTTTTATCATCTAGCTAGATATCAGCATATAAGTATTTTTACGTGACATAATACGTACTTGTTATTACCAAGACTGGCGAAGATCTAGAAGAACGGTGTAAGATGGCTGGAATCGAGATTGTAACAAGACAGAGCTTCCTTACTGATCCAACAGATGCTGTCAGAAACCTAGTGGTAAGAAAACGAATTAAATGTACAAATAAAACAACGCAAGAAATAAAAGAAAAAAAAAGATTGACAAATTATATATATATGTATATATATTATATATGTCAAAAGTATTTTTATATTTTTCACTCATGCAAACACGTCCTCTAACTTTTGTTAACTTAAAATAAATAAAGAACTAAATTTCAGATGTATTTGGATTATTTAACGATTTTTGATAATCAGAGACAAAGATTATTTTTTCCATAAGTAAAGGGCCCGGCATGGCCAGGTGGTTCGGGCGCTCGACTCGCAATCTGAGGGTCGCGGGTTCGAATCCCCGTCACACCAAACATGCTCGCCCTTTCAGCCGTGGGGGCGTTATAATGTGACGGTCAATCCCATTATTCTTCAGTAAAAGAGTAGCCCAAGAGTTGAGCATAAAAATCAAGATATACAATCATGAAAGTTTGATGATTCACAATAAACAACAGTTAAAACTTTCCCCGTCATAAGAATCAAGATATACGATCATGAAAGTTTTCATGACTCACAATAAACAACAG